TTTTATTCTTTTCTTCTATGATACCATCGTGATATTTTACTAAATTGTGTTATTCATAATCTTTCAGAGTGTAAGTCACGTCACATGTGAATAATTTTATTCTTTTCTTCTATGATACCATTGTGATACTTTACTAAACTGTGTTTATCACAATTTCAGGCTGTAAGTCGATCACATGTGAATGTGTAATTTTATTCTTTCTTTTGTGATACCATTGTGTATTTTCACAATCTTTTAGTTTGTAAGTTATATCACATGTGAATGTGTAATTTTATTCTTTTCTTCTATGATACCATTGTGATACTTTACTAAACTGTGTTTATCACAATTTCAGGCTGTAAGTCGATCACATGTGAATGTGTAATTTTATTCTTTTCTTCTATGATACCATTGTGATACTTTAAACTGTGTTATTCACAATCTTTCAGCAAGTAAGTCACATCACATGTGAATGTGTAATTTTATTCTTTCTTTTGTGATACCATTGTGTATTTTCACAATCTTTCAGCTTGTAAGTTATATCACGTGTGAATGTGTAATTTTATTCTTTTCTGCACTGTGATACCATACTAAACTGTGTTATTCACAATCTTTCAGCTGGTAAGTCATGTCACATGTGAATGTGTAATTTATTATTCTTTTATTTTATGATACCACTGTGATACTTCACTAAACTCTGTTATTCACAATCTTTCAGGGAGTAAGTCACATAGTTACGATGTGTAATCTTATTCTTTTCTTCTATGATATCATTTATGTGTTTTTAGACAGTAAGTTTAAGTTATTCTTTTCAGCCAACAAATCCTAATGTTATTATCATTTTGTAGGATACAAGTATGCTGACTGCAGACAACATTCCAAAAAGTTTTTTATTTTAAGTTACTACTTAAAATAAATATACTATTATTCATTTTTTATATTTATTGGTGTATGCATGTACATGTACATACTTAGGTGCATATGAGAGAGCTCTCAAAGAACAAGGAAGTGCTGATGTAGCGTATGCTCGTCTTATGTTACTGGGATCAGCTGGTACTGGCAAGACGTCTCTCAAGCGTTCATTAATGGAAGAACCTTTCAATCCTCATACTACAAGCACCATTGTATCTGATATATCCTCTGTACGACCATTTGGACACGAGTGGCAGACAATGAGAGGAAAAAAATGGAGGGAAGCTACAGAACAAGATGAAATTGAGGAACTTGCACATTTGTTTAATTCCAGTCATTCTAATCCATCCTCACACTGTACACCTGAATCTAACACACAGCATTCTCATGATGAATTAGAATCTACTAGTTTAATAGCTTCCATTTTGAATGTAGAAAGTCATATCCAATCAGTATTAAAATAAGCTAGCTCAACTTCTCCGACACTTGAAGCACATGTTCAAGTTAGTCATACTTTAATAACAATATAACATAGTTTTATTAATCTTTAGCCATTTCTTCATATATGGGATTGTGGTGGTCAGCCAGTGTTCCTTGAGATTCTCCCAGCCTTCCTCACTCCTCGTACAATGTTTCTCCTCCTGTTTGATGCTTCAAAGGATATCAGAGAACCATGGCAGTCACGTCAGAATACTCCTGATGGTGAAGTGCTGTTTGGTGAGGTAGTGAATGAAAGCACAAGTGATCTTATCGCCAAATGGATGTCTACAATACACAGTCACCTCATAAAGCACAACCAAGATGATACTTCTCCTAGCCTCTACTGTATTGGCACTCGTGGTGACAAGTTGAAGGCAAAATGGAAGAGAGATCAAGTAAAGAAGCAAATACAATCTCTGTATGAGGAGAAAGAGTTCTCAGATCTTATTAAAGATGTGCTAATTATTGATAATACGACCTCAGGCAAGGGAGAAGGAGAAGATTCAAGTATTACAAAATTACGTGGAACTCTTGGTAATTTTATCACTACGTTAGTCATCAAAATCCCTGTCAATTGGGTTCTTTTTCACAAAATTCTGCAAGAGCTTAAGCTAAATGTCA